TAGTATATAAATTCATCAACACACAAGTAAATGATTTTTAAATATATTCAGAGCCAAAAAATCTTTGTGCATTTAAAAAAAATGCCGATACGGATTCACTATTGCAGGAAATTGTTGAAAAAATATATATCGAGTATAAGTATCTACTACTATCGACGAATACATTTGGCAACAACGCATGGTCTCGGCCGGAACGGCAACATCGCATATTAGAATACAAAGATAGTGATAGAAAGAGAGAGACAGTGGATCAGCAATATCTACGGATCGTGGCTGGATCAACTAAGTGTGCAAGTGTATATAAATATATATATATATATATACATTTGTCTTTAATTCAAAGGAAATATAAATAATGAACGCATCACATTTAAAACAGTATAAATAGTTAATAATTTAATAATAAGTTAATAGTTTAATAAGTACGTACGTAATATTATCACATGGTAACAGCACGTATTATGGCAAAAATAAACATCGGCTGATTTGAAAAGATTTATTATAGTAATAATAGTAATCTCAGGACAATTCACACAGCTTCATCTAGACCCAAGTTAAGCTAGCTGAAGATTATGTTATGGGTACTGATATAAATACAAAGATTTTTTTCGTAAATACATATATATTATCTAGACATAGAAAACACCCAGACCGTTACAAACAATCATACTCATGAATACAAATGTTTGCAGCGTGCGAGGAATCGAACCCTCGACTACCAAGCAGGAATCAAAGCAGTGTGCTAGCGAAATCGCTAGACTACCGACAACTAGCTGTACACGCGACTTCGTCCGCGTGGAATTTAACTTCTTATATTTTAGAAAAATAAAGTTAAATTCAACACGGACGAAATCCCGTGTACAGCTAGTCATCAATAAAAAAACACGTAGGTATCTCTAATATATTATACACTAGCTGTTCCCGCGACTTCGTCCACGTGGTTTTTAACTTTATTTTTCTAAAATAAAAGTAGCCTAAGTTACTCCTTATTACATCAGCTACCTGCCAAAAAAAGTCCCGTCAAAATCGGTCCAGCCATTTCAGAGATTAGCCGGAACAAACAGACAGACAGACAAAAATTGTAAAATATGTTATTTTGGTGTATGTACCGTATTTATATTCATATGCAAGTAGTAAAAAACGGTTATTTCAATATTACAAACAACAGGCTTCAACATTCTCAAGTACCACAAAAAAGATGTTTTTATTAAAAACAAGGTGTTCCCGCGACTTCGTCCGCGTGGAATTTAACTTTATTTTTCTAAAATAAAAGTAACCTAAGTTACTCCTTATAAATTAGCTACCTGCCAAAAAAAAGTACCGTCAAAATCGGTCCAGCCATTTCAGAGATTAGCCGGAACAAACAGACAGACAGACAGACAGACTAAAATTATAAAAATAGTTATTTTGGTATATGTACCTTATATATATTCATATGCATGTAGTAAAAAACGGTTTTTTCAATATTACAAACAGACACTCCAATTTTTATTAAATGTATAGATGTATAGATTATTATTTATTTATTTATTTATTTATTCATCCAAAATAATACAAATTGTGTAGGATAACGTAATAGTAACATTACAGTAAAATTTTGTCAATAACATAATAGCAACTTAAACATTAAATCTCGGTATATCTATAGACTAGCTGGCCCCAGCGACTTCGTCCGCGTGAAATTTTATTTTATTTTTCTAAAATAACAGTAGCGTAAGTTACTCCTTATTACATCAGCTACTTGCCAAAAAAAGTCCCGTCAAAATCGGTCCAGCTATTTCAGAGATTAGCCGGAACAAACAGACAGACAGACAGACTGTACTATGCTATACTATGTATTGATTGATATACCTAAAATAAATATAATATCTGAGGTTTGAACAAAAACTCAAAGGGTAATTTATTTTGAAAAAGTATTTTGAAAATACCTATTTTGCTTTTAGTGTTATAGTACTTTAACTGTTATGTTTTAAGTAACAATGTTTAATTATAATTAATACTACTGCACCAACACTCCGATCGTGCAAAAAAATTTGCTGTTTCATTATTTTTTAGTTCAATTAGTGGTCTACCTAAGTTCTGGGCTAAGGGGGGGGAGAGTCATGACGCCCCCATGACTCCCATGACCTCCATGACGCTCCCCCCTAGATCCGCCGTTGCGTCTTCTCTTTATTCGCTCAGTAACGTTGTTACAAAAGAAAAGATTCCCATCCAAAAAATAACAAGTATTGAGGTTTGATCTGGAGTCACGTTACTCCAGACTGATTTCTATAAATATTTAGATTAGGTAGACTATTATTTTTGAAATACTAGCTAGACATTATTAAGTTACTGTAGCCATAATGTAGTAGCCCAAACGTGCCAATGAGGAAGCCCTTGGCAAATGCTGCACCCTGATTGGCCCGTTTGAATTGGATCAAGAACTGCTCGTATGCCAAAAAGGTGGATTTGTATAAAATCGTGTATAAATCGCTTAATTATTATTATTACTCGTCGTGACAGTTGTGGCTCAAAACGGATCAACATTTATATATGGTCATCTGGCATTAGATCAACAAAAGGCCTCCGGATCAACAAGTGAAAAAGGATCAACAAAAAACTACCTATACGGCACGTCTGAGCCACAAAGTGCCCAAGGGGATATTTATATATATATATATATATATATATATATATATATAAACCACAAATCAAGCATGTTTAAACTTCAGCGTAAGAAGAGGAGTGATATATTTGCGCTTCAATGAAAAAGAAGCTGTATTATATTTATGTAGCATTATAACTACTAGATGTATGGACCAATTATAAGACGGTTTTTATTGGTTGAAAGCTGACATTATCGATATTGTTCTCAGTTATAAATTGAAAAGATCTGTTCAAGTGTTTGAAGACTATATAAACTTATTTTTAATAGACGAAGGGATTTCATAGACTTTTTCTTGTTCATTTATTCTATTTATACAATTGTTTATATAAAGTAAGAGGTTAAATTATGAAATTGTTTTTCGATTTTAATAAAACTTAAAATAAAGAAAAATAACTCTATGTCACAGAAATAAATATTAAAATACATCGAGTGCTAATTCCCTCTGGTCGTACTACAATCACCTTAGAAATGTCGCGACACACCAAATTGGATTTCGTCCCATCGACCGGGACATAAGGCATGTCACGACTATACATTATGTTGTAGCGTTGTGGATGGACTTGTAATCTTTCTCGCACATGTATTATATTGAAAACTCAGCCCAGTCCCTTTATCTGGAACGTGGAAAAGGATTTCATGTTTCCACAATATGAATTGTCCTTTTCTTGATCTCGATATATTTTTTTTATGTTAATGTATTACTTTTTCTTTTAATATTTTTATTATAAGAAATTATATACTTTTTTCTGTAAATGCTATGGCTATCAAGCTGATATCCCATTTGATGGTTATTATTTTTTCGAACTATTCTAATGCCGGTGAACCTGTAAAAGTCTTTCCAAGTTCACTGAACTTTTTTTTATAACACAGAGGACAAACGAGCATACGGCTCACCTGATGCTAAGTGATTACCGCACCCGCAACACCAGGTGAATTGCAAGTACGTTGTCAGGCTTTTAAAAAGGAATAAGCTCTTTTCTTGAAGGTTTCAATATCGTATCGGTTCGGAAATACCATTACTGGAAGGTGATTCCACAGCTGGTATTACTCAGAACTATGGGGAGCGAATATAAATGGCAAGACCAATGGATCGCTTGAAGGCCAACTCTTGCCTATCGCATACGTCTTTAGTCTGAAGGCACCGCTAGGGGTACGAACCTCAGCTCAAGCCGTGGTAATTTTAATCCCCGTTTGAATTAGACGAGGGATCGACCGGGGCCACCGGTGTGGAGCTTGTTTGCGCTGTAGGTCGTCGTCTTCACCGGCAAGGATGGTGTCGTATTGCCATGTATCTGGAATAGCGTGGTAGGGACGAAACCAATGCAATGGACGGTAAATGTTTACCGTTGATTATATATGTTTACAGACTGCAGACATTAATTATGAGTAGTCATTTCCGACGACTAAGATGTCAGGACTCTTATCCTAAAACGACCAGCATGGACTAAATTTAAATGCCACGTGTATTAATATTAATTTTTAACCACAATCTAAGTGCAAATGCATTGCAAGTTGCACGAAAGGCTTCAATTTTAATGGGCCATTATGGGAATTAGCAATAATAAACGTTACTGCTGAAACAACAGTAGTAAAATAATATAGTTCTGGTCATTATTTCCATATGCTTGCAATTTATGTAACGATTTCAAAATGTTTCCATCTATACGTAAGTTCTGGTATTTACGGCATTTTATCGGCATATACATAGAGGTAAATTGTAAAAAATCTTAGTGGATTCCTCAGTCTCGCTTATTTCGGCCGCCAAGCAGCTTATTTTGTCAGCTGTTTTGTCAGCATATTTTTATATGCCACTTTTTTATATTGTTTTTGAATCCCAGCATCCAATTAAAGAGATTAATTTTCATTAATTGGCAAGTAAATCAACTGTCATTTTTAAAATCAAGTCCTTCACATTAATTACTTATTTGGATGTGATATGGTACAGAACTCTAATATTGTATTGAAAATCCAGTTTAGCGAATAATAGGACATACTAAGACAAAAATGTATTTTATTTAATTTTTTTCATTAAAGTATTTATGAAAAATGTTTAATTTATTAAATGTCAGTTCTGCTTAAGTAATTGTTTATTCCTAATTTACACGTTTAGTACAGTATAGTATCAATTCTGTCAATCGGCTCTTAACAAGAATTATTTAATGGAAAATAAGATATTTATTGTCGACGTTTCGACTAGGCTGCACGTGCCATGGTCGCGAGCTAACTGAAGTAACAATTCAAATTTTAGTACATGTCACCACATTTTTCAACTACCGTCACTAGATTCTTAAATGGAATTGAAAATAATTTGTTTTTAAATAAACTCGTATTTCACCGATATTTTTTTTTACAGTATCGACGTTTTTACTATGCATTTCGATTGTAACCAGTAAACCACAACGTTATGCATCACCTTTTGAAATTCAAGACTATTATATGGCAAACATAACCGATCCTTTACCAGCATTGGAGAAAATAACTAATTGTCGATGTCCCAGGATATATATTCCTGTATGCGGCACAGACAATAGAACGTACACGAATATATGTTGGATGAATTGCAAGAATGAGAAGAATGAGAAAAAAAGAAAAGCTGTTACAGTTTTTTATATGGGCATATGTTTAAACTTCTTAGATGCATTTGATTGTCCGAAAGGACATGTTGTGTGTTATATTCGTCTTTTATTTCCGCTGTCGTGCTTCTTTTCATTGCTGTAATATTATAAAATAGATCTTTTTTATGTAGTTGGAATAGCAAACAAAGTGATGACCCACTGATTGTAAATGGTAACCATTGCCTATAACTGCTACCAGAGCCGCGTTAACGTCTCTGGTAGCACTTACATGTTGCCATTCCGATGTAAAAATAAAAATAGTAACTTCACAGGCTGCTGAAATAGGTGGCACAACTACGACTTCGTGGATAGTCTACACTAGTAAATTAGGGAAAAAAGCATATAAAACGCATGTAAGAAACATAGCCAGTGTGCCAATATTAGGCATACTAAATTCTTCTATTCAAAAGAGAAACCTACCCTAGCAGATAAAGTATTGTGTAAAATAATCATAAACTCTACGAAGGATCATATATTACATCTTTGATCTCCGACGAATAGATTAATAACGCATGAAAGAAACTGCGGGTTCCTGAAAACTACGGTGTAGTTATGCCTTTATATTTTATAATTTTCCTGTCAAATTTCACCTTTTAAACTGGCACAGAGCTGCAAGAAAAATGTCAGAAAAAGTTACCAGTTACAAAGTACCGTCTGATAATTATCACAGGGTAACTTTATAAAAACTTTTTTATGACACATCTTCGTATATATTTGTTTAATAGTTACATAAAAGAGATGAAGCTCCCAAAAGGAATATTTTTTCAAAAATTTTACCTTCTTTTTATAGATACTCGCTTCTATTGGTCATAGCGTCATATAATGTAGCTTATATCCTTATATATATTATAACATGACCATAAAATAGTTTTTAATTAGAATTAGTTCCTCAGATTAGCGCATTCAACCGAACAAACTCTTCAGATTTATAATATAAGTATAAATTTATTAATAATACCGACATGACATAAACTCAATATCAAATTGAATTACATTATGAAAATACGACCAGGTAAGTTCCATTCAGACAGAACTGGTATGCTCTTAAGCAGATATTGATTTCTCGAGGCATGAAATGGTAGTGCACTGTAAAGTTAGACATTAGACTTGAGTCTGCTGAAGTGAGATGATCTGAGAAGTCGTATCTAAAGTCGATCAATAGATATTCTATGTATAGCAGTTAACCCTCCATTAATTAGGTAATAAAATTTTCAAACAATTAGGTAATTAAATTATGTCCAGATCAAATTTACAAGTATAAAAAAAAGACAAAACAAATTAACCTCTTGCACATAGGTTAAAGGACGAGATATGATGTGTATGAATTTACATGGTACAGAGGCATTACAAGGTCCTCGGTGATCTAGCGATTTAGCACACCGCCATGCTTCCGATAGTCGCGGGTTCGATCCCTCGCACGGCACAAACATTTGTATTCATGAATATGATTTTTTGTATTGGTCTGGGTGTTTTTTATGTATAATATGTATACATTTACATATACATTACATTTTACAAACATATTTGCCATTTAAAAGACATAATGAAAACTATAAGTTCTTTAGTTATATTATTAACATAAATTAGTTTACAATTTATGTCCTTTCGTTAATTTAAATTGACATCTAATTTATAGTCACTGTTTTTAGATTAGTGCTATGATATATTGCTTGGTAATGGGTAATAAAATATTACATTTCAAACAAATTGCTAACTCAATAAATCGAGGGATAAGCACGTTTTATAATTGCCCATAATTAATGCCTCTTGCAGCAAATGATTCAAAGCTTTGACAATACAAAGTACCTACATACTCGATATTTCCAGTTTCAATAAATTCTGAGAATATTATATTACAATAGTCACTTATCAAAAATAATGATATTTAAATATTGTAAGTATTTAATCTGTTATATTAAATGGGCAATCTTTCATACAGATGCATATTTTTTTTCGTATCTGATAGAAATAATTCCTACGATTTAAATAAAAAAATATTTAGATAAGATATTGCTATTTAAGTTTATTATTAATCTTTATAGAAAGGAACGATTTTAAAATTATTTTTTTTATAAAAAACTACATTGTACTAACATTATACGTCATGTATTAAATGTTTAAGGTAATTGAATTGTATTTTAGCAAATAATGTTTAATGGCACTACATTTCAACCCACTTCTAGTTTACTACTAAAGATTTTTTTATAAAATTACCGATCGATATAATTTGTGTGTAAGATGTTGAAAAAATATTTTTTTTCATTGCTATAAAAAATACTAACGTCTTCTATCTACTATCTTATAGATTATACATTATGACGTTAAAATTTGTTTTATCTTATTTCTTATATCACAACATGCATACATGTGTATTACTCCTAGAATAGGAAGTACATCGCTTTGAAATAAAATATCTCTGTAAAATTGAGAAATGGCATGTGTAGGATACTTTATCTCGCACACGTAGAAAAAGTGGGATAAAAATAAATCTAGCTTTTACATGCGTCTTTGTCTAAATTTTCTTGAGATAATTAACAGGTAGCCAATATACATTCTTGTAATACAATCTATCCTCAAGTCACATTTGATTAAGATTCTTTAGTAATGAAAAGGTTAACGCCTAAACGACTGAATGAATATGAAAGTTGAGGTAAAGGCTAAATATATGTAATTAAAATAAAAAAAACTAATAAATAACAGGTATTTTAGACATTATCCATAAATTATATCACACGTAAAGGGAAAAGAAGAAGCAGAGTGACATTGTGGGTTCTAAATTTTCTCATATGTCAAAGCTAATGCTATTAAAGTATTAAACACGCTATTTTAATTAAGTAATTATTAGGTATAAAAAGGAGATAAATACATAGTTATTAGAGGCTACTATAAACTATGTCATACTTAAAGGGGTAAGAAAGTCGTCGAAAAACTGTGACATTTTGTGACAAGTGGTTCTAAATTTTGTGTGTCACTTGACAAATCTAAAACATGAAATGTATTAAAATGCGTTGTTTTAATTACATAGGTATAGTCTAGGTGAATAATTCGGAGAAGTCTCAGAATGTGACCTGGTATGACAAACACGGGGTCGGATGAATTACAGGGTTTGAACCTATACTTTTTGCAGATTTCGCAATAATATTAACACTTGCAATTATACCACAAACAAACCAAGTATTGGATTGGATTTCAAGATGGTTTTGGCGCGCTCCGAAACCGATATACAAAAATATGTTGCCGTCGTTGTCGAAACGTATGGCCTGCAGGGAATGTCCAAACATATACTATCCAGTTTGCAGCTCACAAAACAAAACGTATATGAACATGTGCCACTTTAATTGTTTGAATATGACGAGATCAGTCAGGATTGTAAGAAGTGGTGTTTGTATTTATTATTAACTAGATTATTAGTACTGTTGTGTTATTTGGATAAATAAACACTATAAATAGTTTAATTTTTATATATTTTTAAGTATTAATTACTTAAACCTTATTGCTGTTAATAAGTATGTCATTAATTTTAATAATGACTAAACTGAAAGAAATTTAATAATGAAGTATAATATCATGACAATTTGCACAAAATCATTTAGTCCCAAGCTAAGCAGAGATTATCTACGTTATTAGGACATATAAACGTAATAATAATACATAGATATATTTTAAGATATGATATTTTTTGACCGTAGTACAAAGTGTAGTTATATAGAAAGACGAAGCTGTTATGCCCATGTACCCTTTATTTGTACTACTAATCACCCCCAACACCAAAACCTCCAACTTACAAAAAATCTGCTTTGCGGTTGAAATGAGTTAAACACAGATGCAATTTTTTTTATTAAAAGTTTTGGGTTATTTCTAGGTGCTAAAGAGAACCACTGCGATCTGCATAGATCTATTGAGCTTGCCCTTTTCTAGAGTTCTCTGCCTAGGGCCACAGGGACAAGAATTGAAGTATATTCTTAGGAGCTATGCTTTTTATCTCCTCAGAATAGACTATGTACCTTCCAACGGACTATTTCGTTTTGCATGAGTGGGCTACAACCACAGAATGCGTAGTGGTTTTTCTCTTCCATTTGGCAAAATCTACCAATCTTTGTTAAGTATATGGGCTTGATCTGGATTATATTTATATATATTTAAATAAAATAACAAAGCAAACGTTTATCTAATTTAATTTTATATGAGACATACAGATACCCCATGCGCGCTTATACAAGATATAATGTACGTATTCCATATTACTCCCTTCCAGAGACCGTTCCTACGGGCGATAATAATCTGGAAATTTTATTATACGTCCTAATCTTGTTCTAATTTAATTTTTTCAGTGCAGGCGTATCGTCGGTACATTAGTAACAAAGTCATCTGAAAATAGATGGCAGTACAATTCAGTCTACATGACATTATTTTGTAAAGATCTCTATATAATAGATATGTAGGTAACTGTATCGTGTACCTCATTAGGGACGATTCATCATCTCAATGTAAATGTGTGGTTAAGTCGTTAAAAATAAATATGCAGATATGGTTTTATGTGCCAATGTATATACCTATTATGTTATGGTTTATTTTACATTCCATGCCTATTTTTTTGATATGTTGTAACGCTGTCTGCGTCAATAAATTCTCCCGGTATAGCGTAGCGGTTCTTGATAGACCATTTTATACTCGTACGTATCAAAATCGGGCTTATATTTTTTATTTCAATCGTTATGTGTAAGAGACTGGTTTTAGTTACAATTAATTTACTGGTATATTTCATGTATTCTACGATGTCTCTCTTTTCCATTAATGAGGATGATATGCTATATCTTATATATAAATTTTGTATCACAGTGTTAGATTCCATATTTCTCCCTGTTACTATTTTGATGAAATTTATCCAATATGTATAGCTTGCGACTGTTTGAGGTTGTTATCTATTTTTTATACCCCTAAGTCATAGGGGTGGCCTACCCCGATTTCCAAAAATATTTTTTTGTATTATGGACAATTTTTTATTTATTTATAATGTTACATTGAAAATACATACACGCCTAAATTTTCACCCGTCTTTCACCAACCCCTATTTTTAATAGCGATATTCTTACAAATATTATA